AGGCTCTTCAAGCTGTTCAAGTTGATCTTCCAGAAGTCCAACTGCAAGTTTAAAACCTGCTCAGTGTAGTAAAACTTCACCCAGGTGATTCAGATAACTATTTCATGGATGTGTTTGAGAAAACAGTACAACTCGCACAGAAAGTGGATATTGAACTGATTATTCCAAGACAGTGTGGAAGACAAAAGCATCGAAGTAATCCGGGAACCATAAGTGTTGAAGAGTACTTCAGACAAATAGTTTACATTCCATACTTAGATTCTCTAATTAACTCAATGAAGAGTCGATTTTGTGAAGCCAACAGTGCACAATTTAACTTAGCGTTGCTACATCCTTCGAAATTGTGCAAACTGAATCGTCAACAGTTTAAGGATATAATGTCTACTATTAATCGGGTATACCACATTGATAATTTTGAAACTGAAGCCTTGAGTTGGTTTGATTTTTGGAAAACGCGAGAATACAAAAGTAGCCAAGATTTCATCGACCCTTTACACAGTTTTATCCGAGTGTCAGGTATGCCTTACTAGTTTTGCTAACATTACCAGCAACAACATGTTCGGTGGAGCGATCGTTCAGCACATTACGTCGTGTAAAAACATGGCTTAGATCTACAATGTCAGATGAATGTCTGTCTGGATTGTGCATGTTAAGCGTACACAGAGACAAAGTGAAATGCAACAAAAAAGACTTTATGGACAAAATTGTAGATATGTTTGGTAGCGATAACAGACGACTCCAGTTCTTGTTTAAAGAATAAATTTTATTTTAAATTTATGTTGTAATATTTTTTGTTATATTTATATATTGTGGTAATAAAAAATGTGTTGCTACAGTATGCCCATCATTACTACAGTGTCCTGTCCGTTCGTTCACCACACAAATACGCTACAGTAAATTAAAAACTACATTAAAACATTACTAAAAATATTTTGCCCCTCCCTAGAAAATTTTCCGAGGGCGCCATTGCCTCTAATTCTGCCATACCGTTACACGACTCTCTACATTCTCTTCCTAAAGAGATAATGACCTGATAAAAACCGCTGCTGTTGGTGTTAGTGTCGATCCATTCCTGGATTTGCTTGACTGAGGCCGCCGTCTCGATGGTATCTTCAGCTAGTGCCATCCACCACTTTCCTCTTTTCAACCGGTCTTTTCTTAAATCGTTCAAATTACCATGAGGCGGATGCCTTTCGTCATTGTTAGTTCGCAAATATGCCTTGGCTTGCGACAGTGACAGCCTTGACTGTACCGATGTCAGCCCAAGCATAAACCTCATTGTTCTAACTGGGGTATTTCGTGTGCAACCCAAGACGTTTATCATTCCTTCATTTTGAATCCTTTCAAGCTTTGTACACTGTGAATTAGATAGGGTTTATATTTCTAGGCCATAATCGATTGCAGAAAGGACCAAATTGTTGAACAATAAGACCAATAATCTCTGTTCCATGTGTGTCGCCACCATCGTCTTCACTGCCGCGAGGCCACGCTTGCATTTGATCACAGTCTGTTCCACCTGATATCTGTAGGACAGACTGCGATTCTAATAATCATCATTATGTAGCAGGTCCTTTGCAGAACGCCGCTCTCATCACAGTCTGTCTGAAAGAAACTCGGTCTTTCGCCAGTTCTCCTGCCCCATATACTTTCATACTCAAGGAGTCACTTATATCCTGTGCCCATCTTCGTGTCGGTTGGCCCCTGCCCCTCCTTCAGGTATCATGCCTTCCGCTATAGTTTTTTTTTTTTTTTTTTCAATCCGTTGTGGCGCTTGATATGACCAAAATATTTCAGCTTCCGAGAAAGGATGCTGTTTATTAACTAATATTCCTTGATGTTCAGATCTTTTAAGATGTCAATATTTCTCCTCTTCTTTGTCCAAGATATTCTGAGAATCTTTCTATAGCATTTCAGCTCAAAAGCCCCTATTCTCTTGATTAAGGACTGAAAGATAGTCCACGACTCACATCCGTATGTAGCCATAGGGAAGATGCATGCTCTAAAAATTCTAATTTTTATTTCCTTGCTGGTGCTTAACCATAGACTTTTAAGGCTGTTCGTGTTCGATCTTTGCATTGCCAATGCCAACCTCCTTTTAATTTCTGTTGAACAGTCTCCATTGCTGTTTATTATAGATCCTAGATATTCAAAGTTTGTGACATTTTCAATTTCTTAATTATTTATTGTTATTTTTGGGTGACAGCCAGTTTTAGATTCTAATAATAGTAGCAATAATAATACTAATTGTTATATGCTTCCCATGTTTTCGTGTTTGTGGCGCGTCTGCTGATTTCAACGTTTCAGTTCGGATGGCAAGCCTAAGGGGTATGTCCCGTACCCTGTTTAACTTCTGACGAAATTATTATTAGATCACCTGTGGTTGAGGCAATAGACTGGTAAATATGCTATCTTCCGAATAACTGTCCCAAATTATCAAGGCCGTAAGTATACCATAACAGGGCCTCAGTCACATGTAAATTTAGGACTTCCGGCGACTTAAATTGCGCACTTCAAGCCACTACCGCCACCGCCGTGAGTATTTCCCACGCCGCTACCCGCATCTCCTGCAGCTGCCTACATTTTTTTTTAGCTCGTGAGTCCCAGCCATCTAGCTTAGCTCCAATCTACGCCGCGCGTAGTGGCGTGGGAGATTCTCTTGGCGGTGGCGGAAGTTCGCAATTTACATGTGACTGAGGCCCTTTTAGGGTATATTTTTTGCCTCGATAATTTGGGACCGTTATTCGGAAGATAGCCGGTCTTGTCTTGTCCACAATTGCCTCACAGCGTAGTGGGGAGTCGCAGTTTTCTATCCTGGGTCAGGTGTGTTGCACGTGTTGTTGTTAGTCCGTGTTGCCTCAGGATCTCTGATATATTGTCTATCCATCTTACTCTCGGTCTGCCTCTTGCTCTAGGGCAGTAGTGCTGTTCGTTGTATGCTCGTAGAGGCAGTTGGTCAGTTTGCATTAGCATCAAGTGGCCAAACCACTCTATTTGTTGATTCTTTATGTATTGCAGGCATGGTGTGGTTCCTACAATTGATCTAATGTTCTCGTTTCGAACTCTGTCTCTCCTTGTGACATTGGCAGCCTTACGTAAGCATCTCATTTCGCACGTCGTGATCTTTTTCTCCTGTGCTCTTGTTAGGGGCCAGCTTTGCCATTGGTAGCAGAGGGTTGGTATAAACATGCAATTTATCAGTTGTCGTTTTAGTGCCATAGTGATGCTTGGGTGTTTTAGCAGTAGGGAGAGTTGGTAAGTTACTGCGTTCGCCTTTTGACATCTTGCCTCAAGTTCCCTATCAATTCTTCCATCATCTGTGAAGATGCTCCCCAAGTATTTAAATTGCTGCACTTGTTTGAGTTGTTCGTTGTTAACTTGAATAGTTAGTATATTAGGTGTTCTACTTATTTTCAGAATTTCTGTTTTGGTGATGCTGATCTTGATGTTATATTCGTTGCAGACTGTGTGTAGCGCATTTACGTGGATTTGAAGTTCTTTTTCGTTTTCATGTATTATGCTTTGGTCGTCTGCGATAAGTATTTCGTTCAGTTGGGAATATACTTCATCGGGATCGGCTTGTATGTTTTCATTATAATGATCTCTTCCAACTAACTCTGTCTCACTGCTTGGTGTAGTTAACAGTTCGCTTATCATTACATGGTTTGCTGCTGTTGTTATTCTGTCCATGTATATATTGAATAGTAGTGGTGATCGTACACAGCCCTGTCTTACCCCTGTTCTTAGTATGAATTCGTCTGTCACACCAACATTTGTTCTAACTACGCTTGAGCTTGTTTGGTACAGAGATCTGATGTTGCCTAGTAAATGACGTCGTTCAATATATTCCATAGTTTGTTCCTGTCTACCCTGTTAAAGGCTTTTTCTTGGTCAATGAATGCTATATTAAGTTGTTTGTTATATTCTATTGCCTTTTCACTAAGTTGTCTTAGGATGAAAAGGGCGTCTGTGCAACTTTTTCCTTTCCTAAATCCAAACTGAGCTTTACTCAGCTGTATCTCTACAATATGTTTTGTTCTTGTCTCAAGTACTTTTGAATATAGCTTCCCTACGTGGCTCAATAAAGAAATTCCTCTGTATGTGTCACACTATCTTTTATTGCCCTTGTTTTTCCAGATTGGGACTATAATAGCCTTTTGCCAATCCTCCGGTGTTTTCCTTTCGTTCCATGCTACCGTGAATATTCTATGTAGCCATTTTGCTCCGGTTTTTCCGCACGCTTTAATTGCCTCGTTCGTTATACCGTCTATACCTGCTGATTTATTATTTGGGCTCATCTTGATAACTCTCTCAACTTCTTGAATTAGAATGCAAGGTTCTTCTTGTTCTTTCTTATAGGTGGAGTAGTATTCTTTAGTTTGTGTATTTGTTGGATTGAGTAGTTCGTAGAAGTATTCCTTCCATCTTTCCTTCTTTCTGATAGCGTTAAATAACGGTGTTCCGTTTTTATCATTAATAATGTTGGTAGGGTTAAAACTTTCGTCCCTTATTCTCATAGAATGTACACTTTTGTAAAAGTCTCTAGGTCTTTCCCTTGAAATTTTCACAAGTTGTTCGCCATATTTCTGCAATGAGTCCTCTTTTGCCACTTTGATTATTTGTTTAGTGGATTTTCTAGCACTTTTGTAGTTTGTATAGTCTTCTACTGTCTTTGTTTGTAGCCATTTTTTGAACAGTTGTTTTTTTTGTCTTTATAGATTTTTTTTTTATATCTTCATTCCACCATGGTGTTGATAGCCGGTAAATATTTTAATTTGCAGAGACTTCTTTTGCTTTCGATCTTAAAATTGTAACTGGAATGCTGTTTGTGGTTTAAATCTGCTCTGTGAAATCTGCGCCTTTCGGCCCTGTACGTCTGATTTAAAAAAAAAATCCGTAATTAGTAGCCTTTTACGACATGCTTTTTAATGGTACTCCCCCCCTCCCCGCGCACACAATTTGAGGGAGATTACTCTGATTTAATAGCCCCCTCCCCCCTCAAAATGGCAGACTCCATTCTGCAGAAGAAGAGTGTGTGTGTTGTTACAGGTCCAACCAGAGGTCTAGGCAGAAGTATAGCCTACCAATTATCTAAGAAACTGCCCGATGGCTCTCTTTTCATTCTTCTGTCTAAAAACAAAGCTCTTTTGGATGAAATCGCTGGTTTAATTATTACCCATCGTGACGAAATTCGCGTTGTAACTTCTGTATTCGACCAGGGTTCGTCTGATCAGGGCCAGTTTGACAATGTATTCCAAGACTGTCTGGTTAAAGCTGGCGCACACGTTAATGAATTTGAGCAGGCGATTTTAGTGAATAATGCAGGAACGTTAGAGCTGTTAGAATTGTCCAGAGATCTTGATAATGTGAATGCTGTAAATGTTTTTTTCAGCACGAATATCACAGGCTGTGTTGTTTTAACGGCAAAGTTCCTTCAGGTCTTTAGTGCTACTGCTATGAAAGCCAGGGTTATTATTAATATCTCGTCGCTTGCAGCGGTATCACCAATGAAAAGTTGGTTGCTTTATTGTATGGGTAAGTAACAAGTACATTTTAAAATATTATTTTGATATTTTGTTCAACTTTTTCAGGCCCATGAGTTGTGACAGACTTGGCTCACATTAATTTCCCTTTACAGAAATGGTAACTAAAGGGGTTGGTGTGCAAAAAAGGCAATAGCAAATGTAATATATTTCTAATCCCTAGAAAAGTATATATTTTTGTAAAGAGAAATGACTGCACATTTTTTTAACATGATGGCGAGTGTAATAATGTTTTAGTGGGAAAGAGCAGTTCAGCAGGTGTTTTTACACATATTTTACGAAGAAATTCTTTACTTACCATGGTTTTGTAACCACGAGAGCAGTGAATATCAAAATTTGAAAATATCACTTTGAAGTTTGTACAAATTCCAAAAATTCCATGGTAAGTTTCTTGGTTAGTTTAGCACTTAGAGGCTCTTAGTTCTCATAGAGTGCTGAACAAAATTTCAAAAAACAAAATAGCAGAAAAATGGACCATTACACACAAAATATTCTTTGTACATATATATACATACTGTAGCTGCAATGATTTCAATGTAGCTTAACCATAGTATGGTAGTATCTATTTGTTTGGAGCACTCTCCTTCTCCTACACCGTAAATACGGTAGCAATGGAATGTTCTATGCGTCAGACTCATCAGAATTGCTAGATTCCTTAACAGCTAATTGCTCAGCTGTCGCTGGTGTAAATTCATCATCCATATCACTTTATGAAAAATCTGAATTTGTATTATTATTATCAGAGTTAAAAACATCTGACTCAAACAATTTCAGAGCTTCAGCCACAGAAAAATGCATTTTGAGGCCTGTACTTGGGGTTATAACATTGGTATCCAGGGCATCGAACACAAAATTTCAAAATGCACTTTCTGGAAAAGATGCTAGCAATGAATTAGATCACAGTTTGTGACCACACATAGTCGAACAAAGCCTCCTATGCAAAGAAAAATGTTAGAGTAACCTTTCCTGAATATTTAAATGGTAGTTCCAAACATAAGAAATAAATACGGAGCCGTAATGTGAATCAGAATGTACGGGGCACACGATCGACGCTGACAGTGTTGTTTGGGCAAATCAGAACTTCTTGAGGTCTCAGAGAGTTAATAGACTTCTTTAGAAAGGGGCAAGCCTTGGAAGTTATGCTTTCAGACTGTCAGTTTGAGACTTGAATTTAATGAAAAGATTGATGCTGGATTATTTGTATGCAGAGTGTTGGTTCCTCACCTCTCAGGCAGATGCACTCTGACTTTGAAGGATGCCCCCAGTTACAGTAGCCAACTGCTGGGACATGCTTGTTAGAGAGGCATTGGATCTGTTTTTGTTTTCCCCACACAGGGGTGCATGTGCTACGAAAGTGATCATTAACTCTTTGAGGCCCAGGGGTTTAGCATCACAGGCCCAGGGAATAGTAAACAAAGTAATAAATCGGCGCATCATGGGCTTCTAGGAAGGAACCTATGAACGTATGATGTGTTTTTTGGGACTCAAAGAGTTAACCACAGTTGTAGATGAACAAAAAATACATAAATAAATAAATGTGCTGGTTTTGTATTGAAGTTGATGTTTTGACCTTTAGTCACCCTTTTAATGCAAGTCACATGTATCATGTATGTTGTAAGCTAAAACATTTCTTAGATTCACCATTGTAGATGAAAATGGCCAGCATAAGTTCAATAGGGAACTTCCACATTTCTTTGCTTATTGTATTTACAGATATATTTAAAACATGTAAAATATTTCATGTTATGAGCTACAATTTCACACAATTTTAGAAGCAGATTTCTTTATGAGTACTTGTTTGAATTATATGTTTTTATTGTTTTTTTGTGTTTTTTTTATTCTGTTTAGCCAAATCAAGCCGAGATATGATGATGAAAGTTATTGGGGAGGAGGAAGATAACATTAGGACTTTAAATTACGCCCCTGGACCACTAGCTACAGACATGAGTGTCATTGCTAGCACCGAGACCAAGGACCCATCGCTGAGGGCTTGGTTTGAAGGTAACTGCTTTGAAGAAGTATTTTACATTGTTTTTTTTTTCTTTTTGTGAGGAATGTAAGATTTCGTTGAAGTTATAAGTGCTAGCGAATGGTAGGTATGAAATTGATAAGAGCCTGTTCCCCACTGGGGGGGGGGGGGGGGGGGGGGGGGGGAATGAAACGCAGAAGAAGAACTAGGAGTTCTGAATGACTGAATTTTTTTCTTCACGTTCACTGGCTGTAAACTCTGGCAGAAAATTCTGGTTGTTTATCCACTTCTAGACTTTAGTCTTATTTCAGAACCTGAGTTATGTGTTCGCGTCCTTTTTACAGATCAGGTTAATTTATATGCAGACAGTTGGATCCTGGCCTCTCAGGCACATGCCCTCCGACTTAAAAGGAAACATCCCTAATTAGTTGACTGTTGTGATGTGCTTGTTAGGGGGCAGTGTTTATATTCCCCCCCCCCCCCCCCCCCCCCCTCAACAATGGAGCCACGGAACCCTGTAAGGGGACGGATGGAGTTTCTGATTTAGTGTAACAAATTCTCAGGTCTAGTAAGGCAATATTTTGTGGTATCTGTAAAAAGTAGGTTGTGTTTATTGCCTCTCAAGGGCAGGTAACAGTTTGTTGTTTCTTAGGGGTGGACACATCTTACTCTGCCAGGGGCAGGCAACGTTGCAAACATTTGTCATAAGGGAGCAACAGAGATTTCCAGGACTAACACAAGCTTAGAGCATGGAGCAACACTTCATAGTGTGGCCAATCCACAGTCTGTTTCACCAACTAGCTAGTGTTCCATGTCTCTCTACCAGTATGCAGTTCAAGTACTGATATTACTCAGCAGATGGAACAAACATACAAACTTTATTTTCAAGAGATCAGTGGGCACACAGGCTCCTCTTACATTGGGCCCTTCCAAACACCCATCTTTCATACCTTTTTGGGGTGCCTAGTTGACCATGTTCTTAGTGCACTTGTATCCATGGCGAGGCGCACACGCCATCTGGATGTGACAGGTTCAATTCCCGGCACGGTAACTATAGCTTTCGATTTTTATGTTGTCTAGTGTGTTCTTCTATCTTTCTACTTCTTTCTATGAGTGCCGATAAATACACTTTCTGTTACTTGGTTAATTCATTCTCTTTCACACAGCAGTTGTATTTTATCAATAAAGCATGTTATGTTTCTATAAAAATGTGCCTTTTATGAATATCAACAAAAACACAAAAGCGTGGGTGGTAAAATACGTGCGCACATTCGTGCGCACACACACACACGCACCCATTTACACACACACAAATCCACTCAGCCACACACACATGCATGCATACACATCCACATATATACATTCATACACACACACATGCGTGCACACATATTCACACAGACACACACATGTAGTCACACACAAACAGACACATACATGGTCAAACACTCAAAGATGCACGCAGCCATACACACAAGTGTAAGTTATGTCACAGGCTACCTGGGGGAATATCAAAACTAGGAAAGAAAATACTGTATATAGTTTGCATCAGCTAAGAGTAAAATACTCAGCATAACTGTTATTAACAACAAATCATGACCTTCCTACCATTCAGATCAAGTCAAGAACAAGACACTGGTGGAGTGTGATCAGTCAGTAGAGAAACTCATCACAGTTCTGGAAAAAAACTCATTCGCAAATGGAGCTCACATTGATTATTATGATGAAGCTTGATGCATTCCTAAGTTTTGTTACGTAAAAAACAGTTTTAATTTGTTTCCTCATGTCATGGTGTTGGTCTAAGCAGAAACGGCACACTGTAAAACCCAAGATTAGTGTATGGTATTTACTATTGTACCAGCACATTAATGTGACTTGGCACAAAAATTATTAAATTTATGGATGATCTTATCAATTAAATTAAAATATGTTAGGAACTTAGCTTCATGAATGAATTTTTGTAATAATATACTTCAGTATACAGCAACATAACTGGCTCAGCAAGCAGCCGTTTCAGACTGTGATATATTTTGGCCAATTTAAACATCACTTGGTTTATATATAACAGTATTGAAAGGCATGGTTTCTAGAAACAGATGTAGGGGTTGATGAAGAAGATGGTGGACTATGTGTAAAGACTCCTTAAGCATGAAAATACTTTGAGGCAGCAAAACTGGCAAAGGATAGAGAATCTTTTGAGTAGGGTGATGAGGAAAGAGGGTTCTTTATTTTATAGCAACCACAAACATTGGGAAATCCACAGGTCACAGGACAGTTCAATATTTTAGGGGTATTAAGAACTGGTTTTCAGGTTTTCTTCTCGGTTTCTTCCAAGGCCAAGATTACGTTTGGTGTGTCGTCTTGAGTGTGTTTTTCCAAGTCGCAGCGGGTTGTGTTCAATCTTTGCCATGAATTTCCTTGAATTAGCAGCATCGGTACATGACAGGAAGAGCAGGTTTGCTTTTCTGCAACATCATGGCATCTTGTATAATACCACAGGTGAGAGTATGTGAACTAAATTCAACAAACAAGACCGCTATAGAGTAGGAATGTTGAATATATGTGGCTGGGGCAACAAAGCAGAGGAGACTCTACAACTGATGGAAAAACACCAAGTGAAGATTTTAGGTTTGGCAGAGTTAAGACTGAAGAGACAGAAAGGTTACACAAAGATTTTGTATTCTATACTCTGGTATAGACAAGACTCAACCTTCAAAACATGGAGTTGGTTTCATCATTGATCTTATGATTGCAAGTAACATTTTAGACATCAGGTACATATCAGAAAGAATTATGTGTATCAAAATACAGAGACAAGAACAGAAATCTACATTCAAGTTTGTGCACCCTGCAATGGAAATTTCAGAGAAGAAGAAGTAGAAAAATGTTTTGTTGAAATGAGCAATGTAATTTCTAAAACTGATCCAACAAAAAACTTACAATTTCTGGTTAAAACACAGATCAAAGGAAAACTACACAAGATTTAAGCAAGCCAGAAAAGAATCCAATGAAGCAATAACTACAGCCTAGAAAGATTCATGGGAGAAGTTTGAAGAAATGTTGGCAGCAGAAGAAAAAGCAGCAATATGAAGCTACTACAAGAAAGTAAGAGTGATAAGACAAAGCAATGAGGAATATAATCCAACAGAAATAATAAATGATGAAAGAGGACAACCTATTCTAGGCACTGAAATGATTCTAGAGAGATGGTGTAACTATTTTAAAGAACTACTGAATTTCAAGAATAAAGGTGGCAAACAACAATACAATAAAAAACACAGCAAAAGAGATCGTTACACTAGAGCCAGCAATTCTATTGACAGAAGAAGAAAATGTAATAAAGACAGCACCAAGGCACAAAGTGACTGGTATTGACTATCTCTCTGCAGAAGCCATCAAAGCAACTGGAGAAACTCCCTGTGTGGGTTCCGGGGCCCTATTATAGGGAAAACAAGAATAGACCTACTGTCTACCCATGTAGACATGTAAGCATGTCGTAAGAGTAGACTAATTGGGAGCTTCCTTCCAAGTCAGATTGCATCTGCCTGAGAGGCTAGGAACCAGCAGTCTGCATACAAATGATTCAGATCTGTCAAACAGATGCACACGCAACACTCAGGTTCTGGAAGAGGACTGCAGTCCAGAAGTGGACGAACAACCAGAACTTTCTGCCAGAGTTTACAGCTGGTGAACGTGAAGAAGAAGAAGAAGAACAACTGGAGAAACGGGAGCAAAATAGGTCAGGCGAATTCACGCTGTGTTCACTACCATTCTGGCAGACATTGTTACATTCTGGCCACCAGAACAATAGTCTGTCGTCTCTGCTGCCGCCTCACCAGTTGCACATTCCGACAACTCTCCAGATCTACTAACGTGTAAAATTGTTGTGATTGTCAATTTGTGAACTCAGCAGTAAATATCTAGAATAACTGGCCCTTTCTAGGGCCATCCCTAAAGTATCCCAATTGGCAAGACATTGTCCTGATTGCACAAAGAGTTCACACACAAAAACAACAACAGCACAGCAGAAAAACTGCACGCACACATGCGCACACACACGCACGCACGCATGCACACACACACACACACACACACACAAAACAGTTTCACAGCAAAAAAGTGCACAGCACAAAACTGAAAACTGCACAGCACAAAACTGCACAACAAATGAAATGCCAGTATTACAAAACTATACGCTTAATCTACCACCCCCTTGAATAAAGGCCAGTCCTGTGACAAGGGGATTTCCTTTTATTTTTTGTGGCTAAAATATAAAGTACTGGAAAGAGTTCTTCACAAGTCTTGTTACGTGATCATGATGATAGTTTCCCATAAGGGAAACTTGGTGACTTTGAAAGACAAAATAAAATGATGTTTTTACATTTTAAGCACTTATTACAGTAAAAGATTGTTTACCTGTGTTTGAAGGGACCAAAACAAAATATTTAAAAAAAAAAAAGTTTTATGATAACCCGGAGCTAATACTTGTACATCTCTCTGGGACCTAAATTTTGTTCATGTTAACTAAATGTTTATCTTAAGCGAGTTCATCATGTTAACAAGGTTCTACTGTCTAACATTGTTTACTTATATTAATCCTACCAGCCCTCACTGGACCACAGGTTACTTTGTAACCATTCTGTGGTGCCCCAGTATAACTATGCTATGTGGCTGAACAGGGTCTCTGGATTTAAACCTGTTTGATTCTCACCCTTGAGATGTTAATCCTACAAACTGCAAATCTACAGGGAAAAACTTTAAAAGAAAATGTAATTTAATTGCAATTTTCTATAAAAACAACATATACAAGGTAGTTAATTCAAAGACGTTTTCTATGCATGAGGCAAACAGGTTATGGCATGCCAGCCTTATATTTTTATATGTCCATCAGTTCTCTGTGGGTATTGTCGGTATCGCCCTCGCCACCTTTACCAACAAGAACCTTTCCTTGTGATCATTTTAGACTGGGTCGGCATGGACGTCTACACCCCCTCCCCTCCCCTTTCCCTGTCTAAATCCCTACCTTGAGGGTGATTCGGTTATATTACTAGCAGTTTGGCCCAGCTGATAAGTTTGCTGTTAAGTTTGCTTGTCTCTTGTTTAAGAGATGGAGGTTCGACTCCTCAGTACGGTTATAGACAGATTTTTTTCTGTCAGGGGCGAAAAATAAAATCCTAACCTACACTGTCTGTGGTATGCACTAGCCTTGCAGCCCCAAATAAGGCTTAAAACCCCTCTGTCCTACTCCATCCTAATAAGGGGTGCAAACAGGCAGTAGGGCAGACAGTGCCAACAACAGGCTGGCAGGAAAGTGTGTTAGCCACTTTGCTGCCATATCTCTTCCATATGCAAATGTAATATGTGGGTGGGTCTTGCTAATCACACTATGAGTCCCATGCTTCCATATGGCACAATATAACACTATCGTCTGGAAGGACAGAGGGGTGCTAAGAATATTATTCAGATTTGTATTTTCATACAGCCTCCTTCTAAACTGTTCTCAGCAACAGGAGGTTAGGTCTCTACTCACACATGGTTTCCCCAGTTTTAATTTTGAATCATTTTCTACGTTTATTCTTAAAAGAGAAGTTGACATATTGTGTTGTGGTGTACAGCCAAGTTTTGATATCTGCGCCTTTGACCTAGCACATCTGATGCCATCAGATCTCTAATTAGCCACCTGTTATGACATGGTTGTCAAAGAGCAGTGGTTCTATTCTTTTAACTCCTAAAAATGGGGCCCCAACCCACACGGGGGGATTTGGAATTGTATAGTGAAAAATTGATTGGGTCATCTTATGCCACCAATATGAGTGAAACACATGTGACTTCAGTTGAGAAGTACACTTTGTTCTTCACATATCTTGTTGTATGTTGGCCATTTATTGTATTATTCTCTTTTGTTTGAGGAATGTATGATTGTCAAGTGTGATAGCATGGTTACAGAATGGAATGGCTTTTATTGATCTGTCTCATTTGTGTAATTATTAACTGTAAATGGTTCACCTTATGCTGCATTTGTAATGATATCTGCTTTACAGCCATGTCTTTTCTTTACGCAATTCCCAGATGAATTGTTTGGCGATGTTTTTATGCACATATTAATGGCATTTTGAAGGTATATTAGTAATTAATTGTTTGGAGATGTTATTATGTAAAAATTAATGGCATTTTGAAGTTATGGATAAAGCAGGCAAAAGATAACTTGAGATTGTGATTCTTGTCAACTCAAAGTGTTGAGAAGATTTTTTTCTTCCTTCACTAATGATCTTTTATGGGCAAAAAAAAGGTGATTGTGAAGGGCATGTTAAGAAATAGAGGAATCTAATCTTTACCACTTAAAATGGGCCATAGAACCCACACGAGGGGTGGGGGGAGGGGGTCAGGTTGTTTAAGAAACTGTGTGTTTGGAGAGGGTTGGGGGGAGGGGGGGGGGGGGGTGACAATTTCAAATTTTCAAATCTCTGTTAAACTGATGTGCAATACTAGAGAAAATAGGTAATGTAATCTTGCCTTTCCAATTCTGTTACTTTTTATTTGTGCCCAAATACCATATTTATTTTTATTTTAGCGAGCGTTATCATTTTTCTGCTGAAATTTTCATGTATTAATCAAATTTGATAATTACAAGGGGAAGTCAGTAAGTAAGTATAGTTAGATCACAACAACAATGGCTAGCAGGGCGATAGGACGGGCTACAGTTCGGGCGGTCACCTCCAAACGTCTGACACTACAAAAAGCTCCCGTAACTTTGACAACTAACGCTGTTAAAAAACTCAAACAGCTAATGGCAGACAGGTCCAGACATGCATGGAGTGTTGATTAGGGTGAAAACTTGAGGATGTAATGGCCGAGAAGAAGGCAAATTTGATGAGGAAGTAGTTCAAGATGTTGTGAAGGTTTTTAATTGATGCTAAAGCCCAGCTGACCTTGCTTGGGACAGAAATGGATTACCATGAAGACAAACTGACGTCTGAGTTAATCTTCAATAACCCAAACATCAAAGGCACCTGTGGATGTGGTGAAAGCTTCAGTGTATAACTGTGATCCCTGATTATTCTAGATATCATCATTTGTATATATATTTTTTACTGTCAGTTTATTGCCGATATTTCTTGCATAATAACCCAGTATTGCACAAGTCTGTAAACAGGCAGATAAACTGAGTTATGTTTGCTTTGCCACAGTTGTAGTGCAGTGCATCCAATATTGACATGCATTGGTCAGTTCTGTTTAGCCTTAAGCTGTTTAAAATCTACAAGGCAGCAAGGCTATCTCCCCTTTTGTCTGGTTTCTGTTCATTGACCTGTGGAAAAACCTAACAGTAGCTTATCCATTGTTGGCATAGAGCTTGGGGTCTCTGGAGTTCACAAGCCAGTCTGGTATATGCAGTGGCTCTATTCTTGTCTTCCCATAATGGAGACCCATAACCCATACAGGGAAGTTAGTTAAGTTAAAATTCCTGTGTGGGTTCCGAGGCCCTGTTATAGGGAAAACAAGAATAGAGCTACGGCCTACCCAGAAGCATGTCGTAAGAGTCGACTAATTGGGCGCTTTCTTTGAAGTCGGAGTGCATCTGCCTGAGAGGTAAGGAGCCAGCAGTCTGCACTTAAAAGAGTCAGATCTGTAAAATGGATGCACACACAACACTCAGGTTCTGGAACAGAACTGCAGTCCAGAAGTGGATGAACAACCAGAACTTTCCGCCAGAGTTTACAGCTGGTGAATGTGAAGAAAAAAAAATAGTTATGGGGTGGCAGGAAAATGTAGTTGGTGGTTTATAAAGGTGTCATTAGGGGACAGCAGCATTAAACTTTATGTCTCCTTTCGTTAGGTGGCGCTAGATGTTGCATGCGCATTCGCAACACAGAAACAACATAGCGACTGTACTCAAAGTGTACCTCAAAGAACAACATGCTGTTGTGCATTTGGGGGAAGGGGGGGGGGGTGTTTGGGCAGAAGGAAAGGCTTCTTGTTTATGCTGACAAATGTTTATCCCATAAAGCTTTGCATAGCTGGGTTAAAAAAAATGTATTAATTGCACTCACAGGTTTTTTCATGAAGTCTGTTCTGGTCATCCTTGTGTAAAAAAAATGGAGGTTAGCCATTAGGAGGGAAGGTTATGCTGACAGTGTTCTGGGATTGTCAAGAAGTGTGTTTAACCAGTTTAAAAAAAAAAAAGAGGAACAGTGGGAATTCTGATTCATACTGTAAAGTTCTTTCGATGCTTCATTATGCAGTTTAAAGAAAACATCTAGGCCTGATGACTGGAGGAGTACTGCTCCTTCATGACAATGCCAGACCACATACAGCTCAGTTAACTCAGGAGAAAATTTACTATCTAGGGTGGGAACTTCTGGAACATCCACCTTACATCCCTGACTTACCCCCTAGCTACTTTTCACTTTTTTGGTCCACTAAAAACCCACCTTGGCAGGAGACATTTCACGAATAATGCAGAAATTGAATGTGAAGGGAAAATGTGGTTTACTAAACAGAGCACGCAGTTCTATGCTCCAGGTTTGGGGCGACTGATAAAACGATGAGACTAGTGCATCAGTGTTGGTGGAAATTATGTTGAAAAATGAAGGGTCAGTATATGTTAAAAAATAAATTTGTTTTCAAGCTGTTACCATTTTTTTTTTTTTTTTTTTTTTTCAAATAACCAATTGTGGCTTACTTATTGACTTTCCCTCATATTATTGTTATATGTAAGAATTCAAAATTTCAGAATATGAAACATGTGACATGTACCCAGGGAGCACAATTTCAGCTTTCTTGCACTTGGCATGTTACCCATGTCAGAGGGAAATTTGGAGTGAGAATTTTTTTTTTTTAACCTCGCCGATTTTGAAAACCTGTAATAGAAATTATATACTGCTGTGAATTTGAATAATGAAAACACAAACAGTACATTATACAATTTATTGCTTAGTTTATTTCGCTGTGCATAATACAGAAATATAAAACATATTCAATGAATTAAAACATTGAATAGTTCAGATACACAGCACTCACAGTCGTGTGTTTCATTGTGTTAGAGTGGTAGTTGTACAGTGTCTAACATGTCATTCAATGTGCAAACAAAAAGGCAGGTTAATTTGAAACTACTGGGTTAATGGTTTTTTTTGTGTGTGAATCAAGTGCTGTAAGTGCACTGTATTTCAACTGTATTTCTTCTTCTTCACCAGCTGTAAACTCTGGCAGAAAGTTCTGGTTGTTTGTCCTCTTCTGGATTGTAGTCCCGTTCCAGAACCTGAGTGTTGCGTGTGCATCTGTTTGTCACATGTTACAAAAACTCTAGCCTGTGGTGTGGTGCGGCAACCGGGACAGTGAATAAGTGAATAAGCAACGGGAAAATCAAATCTAGTCTCTGGAAACAATCAAATGTAGTTTCTGGAAACGTGGATATACAGAAGAATAAGTTAAATTTCATGGAAACAAAAACAGTTGTTCATTTTTCAGTTAGAGATCTTCTTTATCGTTTTTCATTATAAGATCCTTTTCATCGTTTTTCATTTGAAGATTCTTTTCATCGCACATTGGACATGACTATAAGTTCTCCGATCTCCTCCTGAGTATGTCTCCAAGTGTTTATATGCTAAAAACTCCCATTCAGTTCTGTTACAAAAAAAATATAAAACTCTTCTAGAAACAATACTGGAGGGAAGCGTAAAGTGCAAGAGAGCAAAGGTAGACAATAATATAAGTGGGAGGACAACGTCAAAAAATTGACAGACATCAATCTGAGAGATTGTACAGCTAAGACAAGAGACAGCGAATGTTAGAGATATATTGCAGCCAGCTTTGACTGTGAAGATGGCACTTTATTGATTGGTTAACTGCTGACTGAACATCGACATTCAGATAGTTGTTGAAGTCAGTGCAAAGCTTATACAAGAGTAAATTAATCATACAAGGAATAGCTTATTTGTAACCCATCGTTTTTGTAATGGGAGCCTGAGTGAAACAGTTAATATCTGTCATGCCTGCTAACCCAGAAGTCTTTGAATGTACACCAAAGCAGTCACAAGACAACCCATAGGCACAAGAAAATGTTCTGTGAGATAATTGTGATGAGCATGGTACTGGCAGCATCACCCACCATGCTGATTGGTCTAAAACAAAAATATCGCATCATATACCTAATGCACACGAGAGCTTGGCAAGATGCTTTAGATTTTGTAATTTCTGCAATGGGGACTTAAATCAGCTGGCATTAAAAACTGTTTTTCTGCCATAGTTACTTTCCCTTCCCAATTGTTTGAAACTGCTATTACTGTAATTAATTACCACTTTGAGCTCACTTAAAAGTGAGAAACAGACAGAGAGGGTGTCTTTGAGTTTTTAATGCTAGTGCAGTCGCCACGGACTGTGCAGGTTAGGATTTTACTTTTGCTCTCGAGGAAAAAAAAATTCCCCACCTAAATTGTTTGAAAATAATGTTTATCTTTGAATTGTTCTACCCATTGCTATAACTGTACACAGATGACTATCGACAAGACGTTGATCTGTCTTCTAGATATGGCAGATATCTTATGCACTATCAGGTCAGATCTCTCTGTGTCTTGTCAGTGTATATTTATCTAGTACACTTATCTTTACCTTTCTGTCTGCCTGGATGGTAGATATTTATAATTGCAGATAAAGAGAGAAAAGAGTTTTCATTGGCCATTTGTGGCTTTACTAGGCGATTTTACATTCAGTAGTTGCCACTGCTCTCTGAAGATGCAAAAATTATGACAGCTAGAGAGATAAATATAAAAAATGAGGATTGTCAAATCTTCTTCTTCTTCTTCTTCACCAGCTGTAAACTCTGGCAGAAAGTTCTGGTTGTTTGTCCTCTTCTGGATTGTAGTCCCGTTCCAGAACCTGAGTGTTGCGTGTGCATCTGTTTATCACATGTTACAAAAACTCTAGCCTGTGGTGTGGTGCGGCAACCGGGACAGTGAATAAGCAACGGGAAAATTAAATCTAGTCTCTGGAAACAATCAAATGTAGTTTCTGGAAACGTGGATATACAGAAGAATAAGTTAAATTTCATGGAAACAAAAACAGTTTGTTGTTCTTTTTTTCAGTTAAAGATCCTCTTTATCGTTTTTCATTTCAAGATCCTCTTCATCGTTTTTCATTTAAAGATTTTTTTCATCGCACATCAAACATGACCATAAGTGATCCGATCTCCTCCTGAGTAGGTCTCCAAGTGTTTATATGCTAAAAACTCCCATTCAGTTCTGTTACAAAAAAAAAATAAAACACTCTTCTAGAAACAATACTGGAGGGAAATGTAAAATGCAAGAGAGCAAGGGTAGACAATAATATAAGTGGGAGGACAACATCAAGAGATTGACAGACATCAGTCTGAGAGATTGTACAGCTAAGACAAGAGACAGCGAGTGTTAGAGATCCATTGCAGCCAACTTTCACTGGGAAAATGGCACTTTATTGATTGGTTAACTGCTGACTGACTGAACGATCGACATTCAGATAATTGTTGAAGTCAGTGCAAAGCTTATACAAGAGTAAATTAATCATACAAGGAATAGCTTAGTTGTAACCCATCGTTTTTGTAATCGGAGCCTGAGTGAAACAGTTTATAGCAGTCATGCCTGCTAACCCAGAAGTCTTTGAATGTACACCAAAGCAGTCACAAGACAACCCATAGGCACAAGAAAATGTTCTGTGAGATAATTGTGATGAGCATGGTACTGGCAGCATCACCCACCATGCTGATTGGTCTAAAACAAAAATATCGCATCATATACCTAATGCACACGAGAGCTTGGCAAGATGCTTTAGATTTTGTAATTTCTGCAATGGGGACTTAAATTAGCTGGCATTAAAAACTGTATTTCTACCATAGTTACTTTCCCTTTCCAATTGTTTGAAACTGCTGTTACTGTAAATTAATTACCACTTTGAGCTCACTTAAAAGTGAGAAACAGACAGAGAGGGTGTCTTTGAGCCTGAGTTTTTAAGGCTAGTGCAGTCGCCACGGACTGTGCAGGTTAGGATTTTACTTTTGCTCACAAGGAAAAAAA